CTTAGTTCTTTAAAAGCAAGGTGCTTACAGAGGTAACCACAAGACAATGTTTCCCAGACTGTTTGAAGGGTTTGCGCCAAGCATGAAGATCAATAGTTTTGTTTTGCAGCATTATACAGTACCTCTGGCAAGCTGCCCCATGCATCAAACATTACCTTCATGAATTTTCCTACAAAGCTAGTATGTATCCTTATACCTGCGTGAGCATCCTATTCTTCCGCCCTAGTTTCTATGCATTTGTGCTCAATAGTCATCACCTACAAACCCCTCTTCTAACCCAGTCTTTGAAGTCTTTTGAATATCAGTTGAGGAGACAGTTTGTTGTTTGCGATACTGTGGTCTCGTCCCCACTGGCTGTGCGTGATTGACTTTCTGAATAACTGAAATAAAAGAGTCGTGAGATAGAAATAAGACTTGAAAGCACTTGTCGTTCAGGTAAGGTGAATTGACAGAGTAGTCAGAAAACAGAAAGAAATTTAGTTATTTTGAAATCACTCAAATCATCTCTTCCCAGCACCCTCGATGTTTGTGCAGCCTCTTCCTATATATCAAGAATATACTCAAAACACTTGATTGTCTCCTAGAATCCATGACTGGTTAACACAGGACTGCAGAGATTAGGAGACAGAAAGGACTGCAGATGCTGGAAGCTAGAGTCAATAAATGTGGAGCTGGAAAAGCACAGCAGGTCAGACAGCATCTGAGGAGCAGGAAAGTCAATGTTTCGGGCCGAAAGCCAATATCACTTCTCCAAAAACATTGACTTTTCTGCTCTTTGGATGCTATCTGACCTGCTGTGCTTTTCCAGCTCCACATTTATTGACTGCAGAGATGAGATCTGATTGTCTGGTTGTAGAATGCCTTAGCTCTGTCTGCTCTTCCTGGTGTTTGACATGCAAATAGTCTTGTGGTAACTTCACCAGGTTAGTATGCCCGGTGCTGCTCCTGGCTTGCTCTTGTGCACACTTTATTCAAATAATAGATCCCTCAAAGTTGCCACCCAAGTTGATAGGGTTGTTAAGAAGGCCTGTTGTGTGTTGGCTTTCATTGGCAGGGGGATTGAGTTTAAGAGCTGCGAGGTTATGTTGCAGCTCTATAAAACCTTGGTTAGACCACACTTGGAATGTTGTGTTCAGTTCTGGTCACCTCATTATAGGAAGGATGTGGAAGCTTTACAGAGGATGCAGAGGAGATTTACCAGGATACTGCCTGAACTGGAGGGCAGGTCTTATAAGAAAATGTTGAGGGAGCTAGGGCTTTTCTCATTTAGAGTGAAGAAGGTTGAGAGGTGACTTGGTAGAGGTGTACAAGATGATGAGAGGCATAGATAGAGTGGATAGCCAGAGACTTTTTCCCTGGGTGGAAATGACTATCATGAGGGGGCATAATTTTAAGGTGATTGGAAGAAGGTATAAAGGAGATATCAGAGGTAGGTTCTTTACACAGAAAGTGGTAGGCATGTGGAATGCACTGCCAGCAGTGGTAGTAGAGTCAGATACATTAGGGACATTTAAGCGACTCTTGGATAGGCATATGGATGATAGTAAAATGAAGGGTATGCAGGTTAGTTTTGATCTTAGAGTAGGATAATAGGTCGGTACAAAATCGTGGACTGAAGAGCCTATACTGTGCTGTACTGTTCTATGTTCTAATGTTGATCCCCTAACTTGATGAAAATGATATATTATGATTAAGTACCGTTCCGCTGCTGTTGGCTCACAGAACCTCATTGGTAGCCAGTTTGAGTCACTAGATCTGGTTGAAATTGGAATTGTTTGTTGCCGCATCACATGATGGAGGGTATCCTCAATATAAAGTTAGGACTTGGTCTCCACAAGGACTATGTGGTGCTCACTCCAACCTATCTGTTATGGACAATGCAACCATAGCGTGTAGATTGGCGAGGATATAGTCAAATATGTTTTCTGTTCTTGGTTCCCTCAGCAGCTGATGCAGACCCAGTCTGGCAGCTGCATCCTTCAGGACTCAGCCAGTTTGTGTTTCCTTGCCCATGATTGGCCTGATAGCATGATATTTCCTGGGGTACAAAGTTCACATCCCCTTCCCAACTGAATACACTGTGCTGCAACTTCTTGCTGGTGGGACAAGACATACCCATAGATGATGATAGTGATACCTGGGATGAAGTCATACACTCAATCATACCATACAGGCAATGTCAGACTTTTGGGTGACTAATTTGTAGGAAAGCTCTTGCAATTTTGTTACAAGTCCCCAGATGTTAGTAAGGAGGATTTGCATTTGATGCTAGATCGTTTGCTCAGTTTCATTCCTTTACCACTTTGTCACGAATTGATCCAAACAAGTGGTTGCAGGCCATTTCAGGGAATAGTTAAGTCAGCTACATTGCTATAGTTGTAAAAAGGCTACACCAGGTACGGGGAGGTGTAGCAAGCCAAAGAGATTCCAGCAGAAAAATTCTCTGTTTTGGAGGCATTATGACTGGTCTTGCTGGATCACATTTTACCGTTGTAGAAAGTATTTAATTGATTCTTCTTATATCCTTTTGTATTAAAAGTTGGCTTAGTGCAACTAATGAACAGCTTTCCTTCAAGTAGTGTTCAAACTTTTCAAAGTAATGTTGAAAGCCATTAAACTGGGTGCCAATGATTCTGATTTGCAAGCTCCTTGCAAGATGGTATAACTTGCAAAAGATGATGCATTCCATCATGCATGATAACTAGATGCCCAAAATATACAAGAAATTTAATCAACTAACATTTACATAAATCGGACAGAATGTAGGCTGTGTCACATCGTGGTTTTGTTCAGCAATTCAGATTAATATGTAATTTTAAAAAGGAAACTTTAAAAGTTGGTATGTGGCCACTAAAGCACAAAAAAGAGTAACTTGCAGATAATGACAGAGAAATGGTGTATGTATTGAATAACTGCTTTGCTTTAGCTTTTATTAAGTAATCTAACAAATTAGACCCTCCTATAAGAGGTAATTTTAGAAATTATATTTCTGGAATTAGGATATAATGGAAGAAAAGTGTTGAATAACAAGTAAAACCGAAACTGAATGCATGCTCAAGGATATTACAGAAGTTGCAAATGTATTAGTTTATATGTGCAAAAGTTGTATAGAAGAGGGATAAGCAGCTAATGTTGTTCATAAATACAAAAAGAGAAGAAAACCGAGGAACTGTAGATCAAAAAGTATAATTTTATTGATTGGAAAGGTACTGGAATCTGTACCAGAAGAAATGTTAAAGGTATCTTGAGATAGAAAATGTAATTTAATAAAAGGCGTAAACGTTAAAAGGTTCAGTCATGCCTTACCAAACAGAGGACTCTTTGAAAAGGAAACAGAAGAAATGGATAAGGCCTATGCAGTAGATATCATCATGTGCTTGGCTTTTGAAAAGGGCATTATAAAGATACCAGATGGTAAGCTTATGACAATGGTTAGGGCAAATGGAATTGGGACAAAAAGCTGAATAGATAGCATGTAGCTTAAAAATAAAGAATATATTTTCTGACACCAGAACGCCGATGATGATTGGTGACTATGCATGTTCACACCAATTTATTGATGCAAGCAATATTAAGCAATTGTTTGAAAAATTAAGAGAAGTTTTACTTTGGTTAAGAAATAAAGTGTTAAACAATGTACTCTTTTCATTAAAATTTTATTCATTGGGATTTGTCACTCTGTTAAGCTATATTTGAGAGATATCACCGCTAATGTGCATGTTCTTGGGTATAAGCCAAATGCAGCCCCTAAAGAAGGTTGAGACTGGGACAAAGGGTAGATTGCTTTCTACTTTCATCCAATGTTCCAAGCAGATCAGTGTTGGGATGACTATTATTTGTAATATAAATTACATGATTTGGACAGTGGAATGAGTGATTAAAATATCAAAAATGGCAAAGAATATTGAGGGTATTGCTAATTCCAAGGGAGGATGCCACATTCACCCAAAAAAAACATTAGAAAACTTGGAGACCAGAGCAATGAAGTGGCAAAATTAACTTTAACCTCAATAAATGTGAGGCGATGTACTTACATAGGAAAGGCTGGAAACTGCAGAAATTCGGAAACTAAATGACATACGGTTCTGCGAATATAGGTGATTATTTCTGGGAATACAGATCATTAAAAGCAGCATCATAGGCCTCGAAAGCAACAATAATGTTAACAGAATATCAGGGTTATTCAAAATTAGTGAAGTTTAGATTTATGTAAAGCACTATTCATGTTGCACTTGAGTACCTTATGCAGTTCTGTCTCATACTTTTAAAATAATAATCAAAACACAGGATCAAGTGCAAAAACTATTTTCAAGAATGGTACAAAAACTGAGAAATTACAGCTATTGGGAAAAATTGAGCAAGTTTGGACTGATTCTGTTAGAAAAGAGAATTAGTGGAGGTTTGTTGGAGATCCTTACTATTCTGAATGTGTTGGGCATAATACATGTGCAAATGCCTCCACTTATGGGTGAAACCAAAATTGCAGGATGTTAAGTAATCTAAAGTTACAAATAAACCTAGTACAAAATTAAGGAGAAACTTCTTTACTAGAGAGTGTAGTTAGAATGTAGAACTGGTTGCTCATCGGAAGTTGTTGAGCTAAGTTATTTAAATGCTTTCAGGAAAGAAATTAGATGAGTACACAAGAGAAAAGAGATGCTGCAAGGCTGAAGTAAGGTCGATGGAATAGAAGAAAACTCATGAAATATAAATATCACACAGTAGGGTAAACAATCTGTGCTCTATTCGATTTCATATCTGGTAACCAAGACGGAACAAATTTCCTCATGTTTGAAAATCTGTTGAAAAATTGTAGATGTTTTACAGAATTGATAGCGATATGGGACTTTGTGGACTAACTAGTTTTTACTGCTGTAATTTCTTTTATACTGCTTAGAGATAAAGTGGGTAGATGTTAAGCACTCAAGGTGAGTGTAACAAAGTTGGAACATGGAGGAAAGAATGTAACTATAATTAGCATTATTTTTCCTGATTCATAGGGATAAACTATGGTGCAATGTGCCTGGAGCTCCTTATAATTATATTGAAGTCATTCTACAAAACCTTGATGGCAAAAGAAAATTTATTAAGACTGTTAATATTGAACCTCTTGAGTATCGAGGATTTCATCCTGCAGGTAGGACACAGAGTTTGCAAGGTGTGATGATAACACCTAAAAGTGCAAGCAACTATTTCAAAACCATCATTTATGTCTGTCATAAACACATGAATCTACAACTGCAATGCCAATTTTATTGTAGAAAATGTCTGATTTGGGTAAGGGAAAATATTTTGGTCCAAATCGTTTTTTGCTGAGTTTCTTCCCCTTCGCTCGTCCATTGTGATGTTACATTTTAGAGGCATGAAGTAGACTTTGTGCCATACTAGACCAAAACTGCTATGGTGGGAAATGCGTATGGTAGCAGAGAGATGGATAGATGAGGGGAATGCTGGCATTTACACTCGTAAGTAGAAAAAGCCACTGACCACCTTCCTGCAGAGTTGGGCACTCTTCCAGACAGCAAAGATTGCTTCAGTACGAGTGGCGAGGTTTGGTGTCATGGTCTCCACCACTTGCGTTGGGGAAGAGGAAGTTTTACCATGTGCACCAGCCCATCTAGCAGAGATTCCTGCACTATGCTTGCAAAGCAGGATGCCGATTTGCCCCTGTCTGCCATATCCAAAGCAAATATCACAAAACATGCAGGGCAGCTCCAGACTGACAGTGCTTGTCCACGTGCACGATGGCTTTTTAAATATGGTGCCAGTGGCAGGAATGTTAGTTAACGTGACAAGTTTGGTAAGGCATTGCAAGAAAACTCATTTGGCCTCACCGTGAGGATCACTGCAACATGTGACTTGCATTTTGCCAAAGAACTGGATTTTACTTTGGTTGGAAAAATATGTTTTGGTTGATTGTTGATGAATGAAGAGGTATCAATTGATTGAGAAAATGGGAACATATGAAAGGAATACTAGGTTGTTTGGAAGGTAAAATAGCTTTTGTATTTGGTTCTTAGGTGGGTGCATTATTGGAACTGCAGTGAACTTTGCAATAGTTTGGCCATCCTGGAAAGCCATGTGTATTGTTGGTGGGGTACTGCCTGGATTTCCTCCCCATTTTCTTCCACCATCACCTTGTCATCTTCTACCTCATCCTCCTTTAATCACCTGAAGCTCTACATTCTGCAGCTTGGTTTTCCAGCAGGTCTCCAGATCTTGTTACTGTGTTATACAGATGTAGAGCACCATGACCATTTCTGGAAACTCTAGTGCGTTCTGAAGGGCACCTCTAGACCTGTCCAGGCACCTGCCAGCACATCTGATATGTCAATGACCTGTTTGAGAAATCTTTGGTCATATAATGAATGTCCTATCACTCCTGGCTACATCTCTTAGATTTGAGTAATATCGTCAACCACATTTTAAACGACTATCCCTGGTCTCCAAGATTTGTCAGTAAAACTGGTTTCAGATATTAACATGTTTCAGAAGGTAAGCTGCTGCAGATTGAAAGCATCATGGTAGCTGCCTGGGTCTAGCTGACGGTGGGACTTGTTTCAGCAGGTTGCAAAAAGCATCCTACCACTTGAAACAACATTGAGCCTGCTAAGAAATTAATGTTTCAACTTAGGAGGAACTTTATCTGCTGCCTGTGTAAATTGTGTGCCAGGTGGCTGTCTGTGCCTTGTATCTTTCTTCTGATCTCCTTTCCGTGGGGAGACAGGTCTATGAATAACAGGCTGTTAGTGATCATAGCTGATGCTGCTTGCAGTCACCGATTCTCATCTTATAGTCAAGTCTATGCAACACCACCTTGTAAAGAGTGATTAGGGATGGGCAACAACTAGAGGCCTTCCAATGACACTTATCGTAAATTATTTCATAAGTACACATGCTAATCTGATAGTCAGACCTCCAAACTACTGAGGTGTAGATGACATCTTCAAAATGGCCAAAGAACCTATAAAATTTAGCTTCTTAATTCAAGTAGTTCTGCACACTTTACCCACAAGAAATGGGCTGAGCATGTTGAATGTTTGATTTTATTTTCTGCTTATGGTTTCAGTGTCCTCAATTGCTGCATCCTCCCCTTGTTTCCCTGGCAATTTGGAGGAAGCACAAGAAACCCATGGATCTGAAGTTCAAATTGAAAATCTGTCATTCTAATTGCTAATTATGTCACAATACCTCAATCTACCTTTTCTAAATGGTTGCTCACACATGACAGTGAGATGTGGAAAACAGCATTGTGGAGCTGGTTTCCCGATGTGCTGCTAGTTTTAACCAGCCACTTAGCCTCAAAGCAGTACGCACATACTCATTACAATTCATCCCCATGAGTCAGTGTTGTCATACAAGGATTACAAAGCAACATTTAAAAAGTGGATATTTCGCTTGCTTTATATTGATTGAGATGAAATTTCACAGGTCAAATTTTAAGAACATAGTTATTTACCCTTTGAGGTCAAATACTAGTTCTTGTATCTAGTCTACCTATCATCTATCAACTGCCCCTTCTGGAAAACATGCTTCTGAAAATTCTTAAAATGATTGTACATAAAAATCAGTACTTTCAGTAAGTGAAATTCCCAACATCCAATGGACACGTGAAGTGATTGTAATATTTACTTTTGGAAAAATAATTGAATAGTATTTTACCAAACAAACAATCTGAAAATTTGAGAAAATATTTACCTTGTGACCTGAACCCTTGTTCCTTGCCTTTCACTAACAAGTGAGCTAACCATCTACACCGTGAGTCTTTATACAAAGAAAGAAACGAAACAGAAACAGTTCATGTTTAAGGCTATGTTTCTGTAAGGCAAGATGTGGGTACCTGAGCAATGTTCACATCCAATTCTCAATTCCAAATTCAGTGAAGTCCCACATTCTGAACACCCACCACTGATTAATATGAAATTCTTCCTGACATCTTCCCGTCGATGGCAGGGATGACACTGTTCTGTGTCTTATTCTTTGTCCAGCCTGCCTAATATCTCCTTTAGCTGCAGGTTGAATCAGTCATTGAGCAATACTTAGGGTCTCTGAACTCAAGGCAGAGTATTTATTGGTGGGTTCTGAAAAATCATCCCCATGCCTAGCTCCTGATACCCACTACCCCTTTCCCTGAGCTTCCTACAACCTACTGCACCCTTCCTACCATTACAAACCTGTGCTTGTGTCCCTCCTTGACCTGAGATTTCAAGTGGGCATTGTACCAGCAGCAGCTTCCAGGGCAGCTGAAAAGGCTGCGAACTCTTGGCAGGTGCAACCTGGGAGTAATTCATTCCAGGGGAAAGTCCATTCCTAGCCTCTGAGGTGCCACACTTTAAGTCACTCTTAGGACGTGTGAGTCAGTGCAGGTTCAGCATTTATTGCCCATCTCTAGTTGCCCTTGAAAAGGTGGTGGTGAGCTGGTGTCCACCTGCCATAGATATACCTACAATGCCATTCAGGAAGGAATTCCAGAATTTTGACTCATTCCTCCTTCTTCAGTATCACCATTTCCAAGTCAGGATGGTGAGTGGCTGGAGGAGAACTTGTAGATGGTAATATTCCCATGTATCTGCTCAAATTCCATTTCTGGAAGTGGTTGCTGGTTTGGATGGTGCTGCAAGGACTTAGTGAATTTCTGCAATGCGTCTTGTAGATTGTATACACTGCTGCTATTGAACAGTGGTGCAGGGAGTGGATGTGGTGCTAGTCAAGCAGATTTAAGATGAAAGAAACTCACCAGGTTTCATCAATTGACGAGATGAAAAAAATGATAAACAGCTTAGCCCTAACAAGTAGTAAAATAGATTATTAATATGCAAATGTAAACCATACTCCCTTTAAATTCCAACACACTTTCATTTGTATGAAGACAGATAAAACAGTTTTGCAGAAGTATCATGGATGGAAAGGCAGGTAAAAGGAACAATTTCTGTTGATCAAGAATACAAACTACAAAAGGTAGAATGAAAAAGTCCCTCTGAACTTTAAGACTTTGGCAAAAACATTGCATTGTTTTCAACCTTGTCAATGCTCAATTTGGTAGCTGGTCAGTTGGGCCTAGACTTTATTTCTTGATTTAAGAGTTCTTTTCAGACCATTTTGTGCAGGTCTTCTTCCAGTCTCAGCCATCTGGAGGAATACCCAACATGGTAGGAAGAAGGTCAAAGACCTTTGCTACTCCAACAAGTACCAAAATCCATGTCCCCAATACCTCATACTCACTATTTGTTACTGTACCCACTTCTCACTAAGGCTCATGTTCTACCACTCTCTATGACCTGCAACATGTTCTCCATTGAGCCTCACCAACACCAACCTCCAATACTTAACCCTGTGTGCCTGTGCTCTCACACCCCCCAACCTATACCACCGGTAAAAGCTGTACAATCCACTTTCATCCCTAGTGGGTCTGTCTTTCTCACTCTGAGGAAACAGCCCACAATAGGTCAGAAAGACATCTGACCAGAGCCCACATTGCTCAGATCCCTTTAAAGATTCTACACAAAAAGGTTTTTCTGCAATGCTGTTTCATTTCCTTCAGTTCTACCAGCGAAGGGTTCTAAATACTTAAAGAATTGTTACTCTGCATGGAGCAGGACCTGGAGTGGTATCAGAGGCTGCTGTTGACTTACTATTCTGGGAATCCCTACGCAAAAGGTTATCCCCTTTGACTAAGACTTGTCAACAACTATTACAAGCTTTTAGCTTTGCGGCTGCGCTGAACAACACTGCAGAACAGCAGTAATATGATCCTGGTATCTGACTGAGGGGCCAAATTGCAAAAAGTCAAGGCTCTGAACATTCAGGTAGCTCAAACGAGTGAGCGCTATGAGAGCAAGCAGAGACCGAGGATGGCCTGATGCAATTCCCTGTGTATAATGTTCTTGCTGTAGTGTAACAAGGACAGTGCAGACTGAGGTGCACCGTTGAAGTGCAGAAGCATTACTTAAGAGGATCAGAGATGTGCCATGAGAGTTCTTAGAGGTTGGCACATGTTGGATACCAAAGTCTGTGGACCTGAAGTGCACGTAGCCAGTGCCACCAGAGATGCTCTGAGATGCTGGTGCCCAGTTTTAAACATGAAGTTTGTGAAAAGCAAGTGATGAGCAGAATCTAATAGATAGATGTTTTGGTTTTGTCATCAAGTTTTCCCAGCATCTGTGATGTACTAAGGTATGATTTGTCTTGATAGCATGCAAAACATATTTTTCAATATCTTGATACTGTAGCAATAATAAATCAAATCTAGCTTGATTGGTGAGTCCAGTAAGATAGGAGTCTGAATATTAATAAAGGTGAGATGCATGGTTGAGAAAGTATTTAACAAGTATTAATCCCTGTTAATTTGCAAATCACCACTGCCAAATAAGAATCCTACTGCAGTGTCTTTTCCCCCCATCAGCAACTCTGCTGGGGCTATCCCTGTGGGAGAGGGGTGGTCCTACAATCAAACAGGAACCAGGATAGTTTGGTATCAAGTGAAGCTGTAGACTGTTTCTTTAAGCCTACCACCAACATTTGGGCCACTTTCCATCAGAGCTTTGGATGGTATGGAGCTATCGAAACATGCTGAATGCCAGTCGATGTTTGGAAATACTCTAGTTTCCTGCTGGAAAGTGACAACCCATGATTAATACTTCCAGGAGCCCTGGTATCACAAGTGATGCTCACAGCTTCTCCTTTGTCATCCCTGAGTTTGTCAAATGAACTCTATGCATGTCCAACCACTTTGAATGGGCATCCATAATGACCAGGAACATTACACCCATGAAGGGACTGGCAATAGTCTATATGTAACAGAGTCCAGTGTTTACCCAGCCATTCCCACAAATGTGGGGGCACTGCCAATGGCAGTCTGTCCTTGTTGACACTGTTGGTGGGGCAGTGCTCAATGTCAGCATCCAATCATGAAAAACTCCTGAGGATTTAATTAGGACTTTACACAAGCAACCATTTTTTAAATCAAAATGTTGAGCCAATCGAGGTGAATCTTTCTCAACATGTTCTGCCCCAATAGGCTTGGCCTGAGCCTGTTGCTAGAATCAGTTTTAACTGCACCAACCACTTCTCATAGGAGACTGAAACCAAAGTCATACCCTTAATCTGTAAGAGTGTATATTACCAATTTGGCCAAGGTCTTATGCAAATTTAAGGGTTGGAATCCAAAGTGACTATTGTTAAAGACAGGTTCAGCAACCACTGATGGAGCTACACTGGTATCAACCTCCATGAGAACCAGGTGACCATTTAGTTCGACATTAATTTTTATTGATTCTGATTTGGATGTTGCCAAGCAACTTAACTGTTCACTCCCACATGATGGTCTTTCAAGGGTGTGCACTCCCCACATATCAGCTAATGTCTCTCAGACTCTCATGGCCACTGAAATAACCCCAGTCCCTAGCCTGAGAAGTCCTTCAGAATCTCCTGTTTATATGTGTCAGCCAGGGCTGTTAATAACCCCAATCAAGGATTTTATGCTCAATAAGATTCGCCTACTTCTAATCACAACAGGACCCTTTCTGCCCACCCACAACTGTAGTTGACCAGTCATAGAGGCCATTTTAAATTAAAGGTTGAAAAAGTTGGAGTGATGGTATCTTCCTTTCTTTAATGCATTCTTTAATGGGAAGAGAATAGCACCCAGATTTCAGAATGGCCTTCATCAACGTAAGAACACATTTTGAGCACAGATACCAGGGATTTGTTTTATTTTTATTTAATTCAGGGGATGTAGACTCTGCTGGCTTGTCCTACTTCTGTTGCCTTCCCTTAGTCACCCTTGAGAAGGTGGTGATGAGCTGTCGTCTTGAATTTCTGAAGTCCAGTGACAGTCAGGGAATAGTGATATATTTTCCAAGTACAGATGGTATGTGACTTGGAGGGGAACTTGCAGAAGATTTTAATAACATGTCTGCGCTGCTGTTGCCATTCTGTATGGTCATGGGTTTTGGCTGTTGTTGGAGTTGTATTAAGGCAAGTGGAGAATATTCCAACACACTTCTGACTTGTGCCTTGTAGGTGGTGGACAGGCCTTGGAGTCAAGGGTTATAGAGTTACTGCTGCAGGATTCCCAGCATCTTGTAGCCATAATATTTATATGGCTAGTTCATTTGAGTTTCTTGTCAATGGTAACACCTCGGATGTTGATAGTGGGCAATTCAGTAATGGTAATGCCATTGAATATCAAGGGACAATGGTTAAATTTCCTCTTGTTGAAGATAGTAATTGCTTGGTACTTGTGGCAAGTAACCGTCATCCCATACTTGTCAACCCTAGCCTGGATGTCATCTAGGTCTTTTAGCATTTGTACAGGGATTGCTTCAGTACCTGAGGAGTTGCGAATTGTGCTGAACATTGTGCAGTCATCAGCAAACATCCAAACTTCTGGCCTTTTGATGATGGAAAGGTAATTTAGGCAGCTGATGATGGTTGGACCCAGGATACTGCCCTGAGAAACTACTGCAGAGATGTTCTGGAGATGAATGATCTTCAACAGCCAGAACAAGCTTCCTTTTTTGCTAGGTATGACTCCAACCCCTGATTCCCATTGACTCTTATCCTACTAGGGTTTCTTGATTCCACACTTGGTCAAATGCAGTCCTGATGTCAAGGGCTATCACTCTTACGTCCTATTTGGAGTTTAGAATTACTGCAGATATGCCACCAAACAGGTTTTAAGCACATATCACTTAAAGTTTGATTCAAAGAAGATGAAGTAACTAGAGGCTAAGCTTTTTATTTTCCCTCTCTCCTCTCTTGAATATATGAGGGCAATTAAGAATGCACAACACAGACTGCTGTTTTTCTCTGTTTTAGTACATATATATTGCACAGGATGTATGGTTGTGTTATGTAAGCTTTCCAGGAATTCTTGACTTGATATCTTGAACCAGTGTCACAATGGATCAAGGGTACATTTATCTGAATTTTTTCAATGAGACATGAAAGGGATAGAAATCTAATTGAAATTAGATTTATGAAATTATGAAATTAGTCTTTTCATAATCTTTGGTTCTTTGCTCAAATGGCACTGTATTTGCCACTTAAAATCTGGAATTTCGAGTTTCATGTACTCATCCTATTTTGTGTGTATAGTAAACAAGGAAGAAAATTAAAATCAATCTGTAGTAAAATTGAATTCCATTCTTGTTTGAACTTTATTTTTCAGCTATCAACGAGAAAAATGGCTGTGATACTCATCCATGCATGAACAATGGAAAATGTATTGTAGAACCGGAGGGTACACGAGGATACATATGCATTTGCTTGTCAGGATATTCTGGAGAGAACTGTCAATATTCCACTCGTAAGTATTTCATTAGAAGTTTTCAATGTAATTTCTTTTCAGATGCAAATAATACTGTGTTCCTATTGAGTTCTTGATATTACTTATTCTTCTTTGCATTTTGGTGAAGGAAAATCATTTCTAAATTAACATTTTTGTTTCTTTCTGTAGACAGAAATACTCCTGCATCTTCATTTCTAACTTCTGGATGCATTGTAGTACTGTTTCTCCTAATTGTTATAGCTTTCCTTATCTACTTGCATTTTTTCAGGGGAAGGTAAAAAAAAGTTTCTTTACAACTTAACTTCATTCTTTTAAAACCATATCTCAGGAAGCATGAACTGTGAAAATATCTTTTTCTTCATTTTAGGAAGCATAATGCCACAGAAAAACAAACAAGAAATCGAAAGCCACGTTCAAAGTCATCATCCAAAGGTCCTAAGCCCAAATCTTCACAGCCTTCAGATTCCAGTTATGATGATACTGAATTTCCTACAGAAAATGTACAGAAACAATTATATTAGCTATCTATTAAGTATATTTGTAAAATTAACAAAATTTAAGGGCACTTGGTGTTTTTCCTTAATCTTGCAAGAACTTTCTTCAGTTGAATATTATGTGAAATGCCAAGCCCTTTGCATTAAGTTTCATTTGAGTGTATTGGTGAGTAAGAAAAATAGAGCGAAGCGCTCAGCACAAACTTTATCAATAAATTTGGCCATAGTGGTCGATTCAATGAGCCATAAATGTAAACATCAATGTTAACAAAATACCTGACTACATTTATCGGTACTACTTTATTCACATCACTCTTTCAATATTCACCTTCTGTCAGACTCTCATTTTACTAACGTACCACAAGTACGATACTGGTAGAGTGCTTTAATATGCATTAGGGATGTTTAAGTTAGGTGGATTAACCATGGGAAATGCAAGGTTACAGGGCTAGGGTAAGGGGTGAGTCTGGGTGGGATGTTTAGAGAGTTAGTGTGGACTTGTTGGGCTGAATGGCCTGTTTCCACACTGTAGGGATTCTATGAATGTTTTCTTCTAGCTGTAAGGACGAGTAAAATGCCTTCACTCAGAAATTTTCCATTTTTATGGAACCAGGAAACATTCTAATTTAGAAATAAAGAAAATGAGGCACTGCTCTGAGAGCCAACAGTGTGAACTTTAGAGGGTGCAGAGAGGTGTCAAGGGTGGACAATGTAAAATCATTGGTCAAGCAAGCAATTAGGAGAAACCTGGAGAATTCATTTTAAGTAAGTATTGGGATTTGAGAACATGATTTTAGGTCTCAAATTACTGAATACTGCAATAACTATAACTTTTAAATATTTCCAGGAAGGAAGCAGCTCTGCACGTGGAACAAGAAAGGTAATGCACTATGAAAGCTGCAAAATATTCCAGTATTTAAGGAATTGTAGCTACGATAAATGTCAAATGCATCTCATTCTGAATAAACATTCTTGAGCTTAGCTACTATTCTATAGACACAACATAATTTAATTTTTAATTGTTAAGCAATTAGACACACTTAGATTTGGAGATAAGTGAACATTTACTTCCTTTCGGATAAAGTCTTACTCTATTCACATGCAGATATTTTCTCTCAAACGAATATTGGCAGGAAAGAAACAAAAAGAATGTTTTATATTTCAATCAATAATGTTCGGCAACATTTGAAAAAAACTCACAACAGTATTTTATGAAGTATTGGAATGCACAGAAAATGTGATTTTCTAAGACCTATTTCATAGAAAATTAAGGATTATATTCTCTAATTAGCTATTTATTAATTTAAGACTTGTATTTAGACAATGCATTGAGGTTTCCATTTGGAAATCAGTCATATGCTGACAATTCTATTTATAAATAACTTATCAAATTTAGTGAGCAAAATCATTAGCAAAAGTTAGAATGCTAGATAATTGGGGACACTATTAGGAGAGCCAATAGTCAATGGACTGAAAGCAACCCCAGTATCGCACAGTAATTAATGTAATATATATTGTGGAAAATACTGCGTCATGGCACGTACCCTGGGATGTTTCAGAATGAACTAATAACTCACAGGCTTCATGCTGCAGTGCACTTTACTTCTGCAGGAAATGCCATCCCTATCCGAGATATGATCTGCACAGCTCTTGGAACAGATGTGATCTGTACCATACCATGTTTAAGCACATTTTGGATAGGCTTATACTGTAAAGTTCAGTTTGTGCCTGTATCTAGTGGTATATCATCAATCATTCATCTGAAGTATTCAGAAGGTTTGGAAATGGGCAAGGAATACCTATTCTTATTACTTTGTATAATGCAATTACATGCACCAAAAAAAAGCCTGGAGAAATTTCCAGGCAAAAATATGTCTCTGAACAAGCCAGACATCTTAGTTCCAAGTCAGCCTCTCTTAAAACAGACAAGTAGTACTACCTCGGTGACTCATTTCCTATCGTTCAGAATTGGGATAAGGAACCTAATTTTTATCATTATGCAACAAAAATGAGGTCTACAAATACCAGTTGAGTTGCCATTTTCTTTGCAAGAATTTGTCACTTGTAAAGAGAACATATACAACTGAGGATCTAATTATGAAGTCACCATGTGAAAGGGTTCATGACCTGCAAAACCTCAGAAAATCCTTTGTACAAAACTTTCAAAAAAAGTCCTACATCGTGCTCAGGTGCACATTATAGGAGAATTATGTTCAAATACTTGTTCTAGTGCTGGCAGTTTGGAAACTTCTTGTTAATTTTTACAGATAAATAAATCCTGACACAATTTGATAACAGGCAAATAGTGGCTTTTCCAGAAGAAGGCAAAGTGAGTTTTAGTTTCCTTAGTTGGCTAACTTCTGCAAGGTGAGTTTTGCTGTTTTTGATCTCTAGAAAGGTTACTGTAGTTGAACAGCTAGTGAAGAAATAGATGAGCGTAGGATTAGGGTTTGTGTAAACCCTGTAATATACTAGCTTGTAAACTCTACTTTTTGAAGTTAAAGCACATGGAGTTAGGGATAGTGCTTTGACATGGATAGTGACGTAGTTAGCAAGAAACAGCTAGAATGAGCAAGTCATTTACTGAGTAGCAGCAAGTGACTAGTGGGTACTGCAGGGATCAGTGCTTGGACCCCAGCATTTTACAATATATATGAATGATTTAGATGAGAGAAGTAAATGAAATATCTCCAGGTTTGCAGACAGCAGAAATCTGAGTGACCGGGTGAACTGAACAGGATGTAGAGATGCTTCAGCATGATTTGGACAAGTTGACTGAGTGGGCAAGTGCATGGCAGATCAAGTGTAATGTGGATTCATGTGAGGTTTTTGACTTTGGTAGAAAAATCAGGAAGGCAGATTATTTGAATGGAGTGTTGGTTTCCTTAACAGAGGAAGGATAAAGACTGTATAAAGAATGCAAAGAAAGTTCACCAGACGAATTCCAGGGATGGTAGGACTGACTTACGAAGAGAGACTGGATTGATCAGCATTATATTAACTGGAGTTTAGAAGAATGAGGGAGGAATCTCATAGAAACATTTGAAATTCTACCAGGACTAAACAGGGTAAACATGAGAAACATATTCCTGATGACTTACTGGGGAGATCAAAACTAGGGATTATAGTTGAAGGGTATGGGGTAGGCCATTTTGAAAGGAGATGCAGAGAATCTCCACCCAGAGTGGTGAGCCTGTGGAATTCTCTGCCACAGAAAATATTTGAGATCAAAACATTGAATGTTTTCAAGAAGGGGTTAATTATAGCTCTTATGGTTAAAAAGATCAAAGATTATGGGGAGAGGATTGAGTTGGATGATCAGCCATGATCATATTGAACAGTGGAGCAAGCTCAAAGGACTGAATGCCCTCTCCTGCTCCTATTTTATATCTCTGACTGATGTCAGGTCACTTGAGATATCTGGAGATGGGAAGTTAAAATTTCTGATGTATTCACACCAAACACTTGACCTTATCAAAAAAGTCTTGTGTTTATTTCTCCATAACCATAAAAACGTATCTGCCAAAGGCACCACAAATGTTGAGATGTATCCATCAAATGAGTATCTCTGTCAACTGCATTCACATTCATAGGTTACCCTCACCTTGTTTAACCTGCAAGCCAATGCTGCTTCTCAGTGTGTCTACCACAATGCAAATGTGACCAGGTTTGCTCAGGAGGTGGCAAGAAAGCCTTCAAAGTCACTTAAACAGTTTGCATCAGTGGGCAAACACATGGTACATGCAGTCCAATATGGCTAAATGTGAAGTTATACACTTAGTTGTGGAAGATGGAAAGGAAGTGTTATTTAAATGGCAATATATTGGGAAGTGTGAATGTACAAAAGCATCTGGGTGCCTTTTGTACTATAGTCAATGAAAGTAGACAGGCAAATTTGGCAAGAAATTAGGAAGGCAAATGGTTTATTGACGTTCAATGCAAGAGAATTTGAGTTCAGAAATAGGGATATCTTGCTGCAGTTGTACAGGGCCTTGGTGACACCGCACCCAGAGTATTGCATTCAGTTTTGGCTCCCTACCTGTCATAGAGGGAGTGCAGCTGAGGTTCACTCAGCAGATACCAGGATGGCAGGATGAGCGATGAGGAGAGATTTGTTTGACTAGGCCTTTATTTACGAGAGATTAGAATATGCAAAGGGGATCTGATTGAAACATATAAAACTTTACCAGGCTGGACAGACTAGACGAAGGGAGGATATATTCCTTGTTTGGAGTGTCTAGAAGCACAGGATACAGTCCATAGAAACAGAATAGACTATTTAGAACTAAGATGAGGAAACATTTTACTTCACTCAGAGGGTAGTGACCCTGTGGAATACACTACCACAGAAGGCTGTGGAGATCAACCCACTGATCTGTAGTCAAGAAAGAGGTAGAAAATTTCTATTTTTTAAAAGCATCAATGGAATCAGGAGAAAGGGGGAACATGGCATTGAGATAAAGGATCAGCTTGTTGAAGGGCAGAGCAGAATTGGAGGGCCAAATGGCCTACTAATGCTCCTTATTTCTAAAGCTCTGCTTAGAGCTATAGCTGAGAGCTGGGTATCCATCTAAGAGAGTTACTTTGCCCACATTCAGAAGTGCTGCTTCATCTGCTTAATATGACACTCATGATGATACCAAAACACGTCTTAGTCGGTTGTAATTTTAGTTTGTACATATGGACCATGCAAATTCAATTTGCCTGACACATTTTGCACTGGTGATCCTTGGGATATTTTACTGGGTTTCATCTCGCCTTTCACTTAAATGCAATTTATCATAGAATCCCTACAGTGTGGAAACAGGCCCTTTAGCCCAACAAGTCCACACTGAACCTCAGAGGATTCCGCCCAGACCCATCCCCTTATAAACCACCTAATCTACACCTCCCTGAACACTATGGGCAATTTAGCATGGCCACTCCACCTAACCTGCATATCTTTAGACTGTGGGAGGAAACCCACGCAGACATGGGGAGAATGTGCAAACTCCTCACAGACAGTCGCCCGAGGCTGGAATCGAACCCAGGTCCCTGGTGCTGTGAGGCAGCAGTGCTAACCACTGTGCCACCATGCTGCCCTGATATTCCAAGCATGATTTACATAATGCGTTTGGAGCATACAGCTTAGAATTCATGGAGAAGAGTGTACTTTTGCTGGTGCTACTTCTTAAATTGACACCTGTACTTCCTGTTGACAATAATATTTGCAAA